GATTTGGAAATGGATATTTATTCCAGTAAATCAAAGAAACTATACCTCAATTGTCTTCCCATTTGAAGCGGTAACGATGTCTCCAGGCCTCATACCTGTCCCACTAATCATATTCTCACAAGCTGCAACAATGAAATGAACCTGCATATGCAAAGACAACATACTTACTACACATTTACATTCAAAACTTAAAAACATTTTAAAAAAAGCAGTAACAATGACGATAATGGAAGAGAAAAAAATAACCAAACATAACATAGATACGAATATCTTCCAATGCCATGAAAAATCATAGTGACAAAACCAATGGCTTACCTCAACTCCATGAGGTTTAATTTGACCAATGGCCTTTGCAGCACCTAGAACTGCTGCTGAACCTCCCATATCAAATTTCATGAGCTCAATAGAACAGCCAGGTCCAGTCTTAATGTTGTAGCCACCACTAATAACAAAAGGCAAACATTCAATAAACTCGACCACAAGCAGCTGAAACAGACAACAAGAGAGAAAAACAAATAACACGCCAACCAGTTACAAGCATTAAGCCTTGAATATGTTCTCTTTTACTAAATACTAACAGAGTTAGGAAACACAGTTCACTCTTGAATAATCAACAAATGCCTTCACCTGTCAAATGTCAATCCTTTTCCAACTAATGCCAACTTGGCTTTAACAGGTCCACTTGAAGGTTTGTAGCACAAATGGATGAAATGAGGAGGATTAGCAGAGGCAGCAGCAACACCCAAATAGGAGCCCATTTTCAACTCTTTGCATTGCTCCTCATTCAAGATCGTCGCGGAAATGACATCACGATGCAGGGAAGCAATCTTTAAAGCCTCCCCCGCTAGAGCAGCTGCAATATAAAAGCAACCGAGCAGTTGTTAGACTGTGAATTATCATGTTTGCCAAAATGAAAAGGATCTAAAGGCCATAAAGATAATATTTCATCAGGAGATGCATTGCTGACACAAGGCTAAAGCTAATGCGCGTGACAATCAATGTATAATATGAAAAAAGGAACAATAATCAAGAGAAATAACAATAGAACTAAATATATACCAGGGGTAAGTACATTGGCAGGTGAATTTACAAGCTCTTTTCCAAAAATCACTGCAGAAGAAACATCTTCAGCATACTTGAGCTTCTTCTCCAGTTCTGGTCCAGTTCCAAGACCAAGAATATCCACAGATTTAAGAACTGGTTTCTTTGACTCTGACTTGTACCTATTATCTTCATATACTCCCAGCACAGTCCCTAAAACAATTAAACGATTCCATTGGATGAGTTCAAAATTTTAGGAATAACCAAACAGTACAACAGCAATGCCCTCAAAATGAGAATATGAATACCAGATGCTATCGCTGAAGCAGTGTTGAGCTTTGATTCATCTGAGAGACTCTCATGAGATGCAAGCACAATAGCAGCATTGCTTGCTTGAGAAGCCTTTGCCGCTGCTGCAACAGCCTCGCCCAGACCCCGAAAAGCTGCAGTGGAAGAAGCTGACTGTCCAAGCCCAATCAAGCCGACCCTTTTGGAACCCAGACCAGGGAGCCTCAAAACTGTCGACTGACCAGCTTTTCCAGTGAAATCCTCCTCGGATGAGACCTCGGCAAGGAGACCACCTAAGTGGGCATCTAGCTTTTTCAAGATCGAGTTCTCAAACTTCGAGTTCTCGTCTTTCACCATGTCTTTCTCTGTCACACCCACTGCGATAATGTCGCCTTTCCATTCTGTCACGTCAGTCTCCTTTGCGGCGAAGGAGATCTATCAGGCATTTTCACAAACACATAGCATATATCTCAGTCACCCAAAATCGGACCAAAAACATTTAACAATAACAAAAATTTAACCCCAATCAATGGTAGAGATCAAACACAAGGCGAGAATCCCGATACCCAATCAATCCATCAATCTATATATATATATATACACATATATATATCAAATTAAACACAGACATAAAAGTATTTAGAGAAGGGAGGAGATGACCTTGGGTGCTTCGAGCGAGTTGGGACAAGTGAGGCCTAGAGTGGCTCGAGCAAGCGTGTGGGCCATGAACTTGGCTCTGCGATTGTAACAAAGGCGTGAAATTGCAAAAGAATATCTCTGTTCCGGTGACCACCGCAAGCTTCTGATATATCCAGACGCAGTAGAATTGTGAAATGAGCAACGAGAAGAAGAAGATGAAGAAGACGAAGAAGACGAAGAAGAAATGACTACTAAGGAAGCGGCTAAAGACCCTACAATGGCAGCGGCCATTTTAGGGTGAGCGAGACTCAAGCTATTTATAGGCCAAAGGAAGAATCGTTTGACAAGATGCTGATGATGGTGATGATGACGATGTCAATCCATAGGGAAGGTCGAAGCAAACGTGGACTTGCCATTTGTGTTGCAGGCAGTTAAATATTTTTTATTTATTTCTATATAATTATATTTTTTTTTACATACTAAAAATAATATCTACTATTTTTATTTTTTATATTTAATTTCTTTTTTCAATTTTTTATAAATTTATTGGGTCTTATTTTATATTTTATTTATTCTTTAATGAACTTATTTGAACTGAATTGAATAATATTTACTTTTTTATTAAAATATAAAATTGAAAATTTTATAAATTTGTATGTAATTTATTTTAATTAATATATTTTTACTTCCTCTCGTTGTATTAGTAACAATTTTATGCTGGTAGATGTAATTATTTATATGTACGTACATATATATATGATATATAACAAAAGACCTTATTGGATTTAATAACATAAAAATAATTTTTTTTAAAAAAGAATGTCAAAGAAAATCAATATAAATAAAATATTTAAATGTTTGTTTTATAACGAACTCATAAATCTAAAAAATATATATATAATAATTTAAGTATATAAGTAAAATAAAAATTTAAGTTTTACGTCCTTTACATAATAATTTAAAAGTACTAAACAAATATTACGGAATGAATTCTCTGAAATAAATACAAAAAATTAGAAAAATAATAAAAAATATAAAATATCTAATATTTACTCACAATCTTTTTATAGATTGAATTATGAAACTATATTATTTTAATCTGAAACAGTTAAATATTTGTTTAATGTATAAAATAAAATTAAATTAATTGAAATTAGTGTTATAAACTAATTTAATTATAATATTCTTCAAATTTTTAAAAAATAGATAAAAGTTTAATATAATGAATATAACATAAGATAATAATATAGCATAATAATAAAATGAGCATAAATGATCGTTCG